TCTTTCAATTCATTAGTCTAACATTGAACCTGAATTATGTGGTGTGTACTGTTACCATAGTGATGGATGTGGTCTTCACATCTTTATTTAATAAATTACTACATGCATCAATGCCAGTGATTTTAGATTTTATGATTCATTTTTGATTTTGTTTTTATTGCCAGTAATACAAAAACTCCTACATATTAGTATTTTTTAGATACAAGAGTATTGCACAGAGCCGCTATATTGTTCATTTCAGTGGACATTTCACAAGAGTTCTCTAGTCATGGTTTAAATTATACAATTTGTCTCATCTCTGTTTGCCTGATAATAATTAATTAATACTGAGTGTCTTTACTGTTAGAAGCCAAAATAATATAATTTTTTGCTATGTTATTGTAATTTAACATTACTGGCAATTAATTTAGTACTTAATTATTGATTATAAAAGTTGCTTGATTTTCTGAATCAGTTGAAAGATTTGTTGTCAAGATTTAGATGTAGAATCAAAGCAAATTGTTTTGCTTCATTTAATATATCCATTGTATGACAGCAAGAAGATTAATGACATGTCATTTCCTCTAAAGGTTTTGTTATTTTTTCTATGGAACTATTAATTTTTTATGGTCATATATACTACTTGACGTCACATCATTACTTGAATTACCCTCATATGGGAATTTCAGGAATTCTTAGTTTAGACTCTGAGGGCGCTGTTTATTCTGTGTCAGTTTTCGCAATGATGTTCCGCTTGTCAGTGTACATGTAATGTATTGTGGTGGTATTTTAAATGCTAATGATTTTGACAGTGTGTACTTAATGTTCTAGACACACAACTTGAAATTGTTTTTGTGCTTGTCTTGTCTGAGAGTCTTAAAGGTATTAATATTGTGTACATAATGTCCTGGATACTAAATATATTGGAACTGCTTTAGTGCGCTTGTTCTGCTCTAAGAGTCTTAAAAAGCCATGTATTGTGTGGCCTTTAAATGCCTGGTTTCATTTGCATACACACCAATGCTACAAGAGTCATTGTGCCAAGTAAAGAGAACAAAAATTATATGGCTCACATCACTATTTAATAATTTAATATAACAAGCCACCTGTGAGCAATTGGTTGCATGGCAAACGAATTAAGAATTTTGAATATCTTTAACTTGCAATCACAGCTGGAGCATGGTTTACTTTTTTGCTGGGCTTTGATTGTTACAGTAAACACTGGAAGAAAATCTAAGATGATTTCAATTGTCAGTAAACTTGATATGTATACCTGTATTCTGTTTAGGATATGGAGAAGGGGGAAAATAACAATAGTCTTGAGAAATACGAGATGCTTGCGCTGGGATTTAAAAAACATGGAGTTTTGTCACATTAGCTGTGTTTTCAAATTACATGTAGTAGACCTCTATTTGTTCTCTGGGTATTTCTTATGATGCAATATATTAGTTCTGACATGGGGTAGCACACTGGCACCAGGTTGATTACACCAGGTTCAGGAGACTGCTTCATTAAAGGCAATATTACGCTATGTCAGGTGCTGGGTAGGAAAGGTAAACAGGGCATATCGGTTGCTATGTGCAAGTTGATTGGTCTACTGAGCGTAATAATGGTTTTTCTTGTGCACCTCATGTTCAAACTGGATGGGAAATTGGACTTTAATTTGTGAAAAGAATAAAGTACATGAACATTGCGATTCACTTAAAAATGAAATTGTCACTCATTGAGTTTTCACTGAAAAGCAGACATCACTTCACTGTAGGGCAGTCCTTGTCAGTGGTACACAGGTGGAGAGTCTTATAATCACAGAAACATGTTTGTGACATTCTAGTTGATACACCAAACCTGCTTCATTGTTATTGAATATGTTATAGATACTGCTACTAACATATAAAGCAATTGCTATTATTTTGTTGAGGGGGCAGATAGTGATATTTGTATTCTCGCTTTTACAAATGTATCCCCATCTAATGTATCCCGTCTCTAGTACGTGTACTATAAAAGAAGAAATATTGACTGTGTTATTGAAGCAGATTTGATGTCACAGGGATATTCTCTAGGTTTTAAAATTCGCTGGTTTTTGGAGAAAACAAGACATTCTATTTTTAAATAGGAGTATTCATTGAATTTTAATTTAGCGATTGAATAAATTTAAATAAAATCTAGCTACACTGTAATAAGGAAGCCCACCAAGGGTTGTTGTGCTTTTCATAAATGTCATTGGCCATTCCTAACAGTGTTGATGGATTGTTGAGTATACTATCATTCATGTTTCTATGGTTTGTAATTATAAAATTCTTGAATCCGAATTCTCATGAATACATACACAGTAGGTTGAGATGATACTCTATTCAAAGTACAAGATTACATTTACCGTAGACGACATTGTTAATTGTAGTCATAATGTATTCCTGTAACCTGATCATAAATTGAATTCAGTATGTAGTAATTATTGCATTGTGTATATTTATCTTTAATTTCCCAGGTATATAGTGTAATTGTATTATGTTGTTAATTTGTAAACACTGTTGTACCATGGATAATTGCATGGTGTAGTGTAATGCGATACTGTCATTCCAGATCATTGGATATAGATTTAAACTACCGATATTAGGTTTCTCCAACGTTACATTTTATACTGTATATATAGTTGTATTTTACATGTATTACTGGGTATTGTGCAACTTCTGTGGTTTATCCTAATAATCATAATGTTCTTTTGTGTTAGAATTTCATTTTATTCGCTACAACCACTTGTACAATGTAAATCAGACTGATCACCACTAGTAGTCATTGGAGTCCAATTACATTGGAAATTTCAACCCTACCTGAAGTTTGAGCACCAAAAAAAACATACATGTATGAAGTCACTGGCCACCATTCATTCACTTGCAGATGCAACAACTTGTGCAAAACTTTAGATTGCCAGAGTTTGGGTTTGGTTAATGCTGGGATAACGTATTTGCTTGCCAAGATAGTTATATAATGAAAATCTTCATACAACTCTTTCATGTTGTCCTAAACCTGTTTCTGTGGCAACGTACATGCCCTATATTTACCATTAACACTTGCACTCAGGTGTCAGTAGAAAAAGCACTGACATTCAGTGTTATCTGTCACTAGGCATAACAAATTGAAACAAAAATGACAGTTTATGTTTCTTCTACAAACCATACAAAATGCATATTATAAAGTTTGATGATTTATTGCATTATTTATAAATAATCTTTCTTCAATGATTTCTAAAATCATTAGAAAACAAAATTTTGTTCTGATTCAATACATCATGGTGATGAATTCTGCTTTTGCTGCAGTGGAAAAAGTATGCATAATTTCAGCTGCACCATAATGTTATTAGCATGTGACCAGCCTTATCGCTGGCATTTTAGTATGATGAAGTTGTAGTAGCTGGCTTTGTTTGTGCTTGAAATTGGACACTTCCAAGTGACTAAAGGTTGACTTGTATTCATTGACTAATTCATGTTTGTTAGACTATAGGTTATATTTCAAAACAAACTTACTGCACACTGCCTCACGTTCTTTACCTTTCAAAGCTTTATAATAGATATACAATGTACATTTACATGTTCTGGTCTTGTACCAGTCTCTATAGACTATAACATAACAACTTGAAAATCAGGACTATTGGGCGACCGAGACTGACAAAATTATTAAACTAAAAAAAAATTTACAGCATTTTGGTCATTGCATGCATCAGTTGAATATGTGAACATTGAGTTTTTTTTCAGAATTTTGTGAAAAATTTATTTTTCATAATAAAACAAAATAAAAGCACAATTATATGCAAATTTCGAAAATAAAACAAACAAAAAATGCTCCCTCAACGATTTCAGAAAACAAAAAATCTGAATCTGATTACTAAAAAAAAAAATTCCATAACTGTTTTGTTTTCACTAAAAATCCATTCTAAAATTCAGATGTGGTTATTCTGCTATAGCAACTTAAAATAAAGCAAAGTATTCATTGGTAGGTACCCTTATGTGCATGAACACACTTTCTAATTGTGGTTTGAAACCTATATGTTTACCATTGATTGATGAGGTGTTCTCTTACAAGTAATGCACACATTTATATAACATGCCAATAGCAATTACCGGGTACAGCTTATAATCAGATTAAGTTATTATTTTTACTCATGCCTTCACAATTTAATTTTATACTTTATTTTTTTTTAAATAATAACTACAATGTACTGAGTCTTGGTTTTGTTTGTCTTGAAAACTTTTTAATTATGATTGAAAGTTAAATTGATATATGTTTCATTCCTGGAGAGAATTACTCAGTTTTCCACAATGCAGTGGTGCAACCTGCCGTAATATCTGCATTTACATATTATACGAGAGTGGATTACTGTGTATGACAATGATGACATGTTTCTGTTAGCATTGCCAAGTACTATCTACAGGTGGTTAGTCAATGTTAATAAACAATAACACGATTCGTACAATGGTGATAGCTGATAACATTAAATGTTTGTATACTCCAAAATGTGCCATTGTAAACGGCCAGTTAGATTATTTTAAGGTTATCATTGATCCTATCAACCTAATACACTGTTAAGGTTTTTGTCCTTGTCACGTAAAATGGGGTTAAATTGTTAAGCCACTATGTAGTCATGCTATCAACTGTCATCACTGCCTTTGTTCTGCACGGTCTCAAATTCCTGATTTAATTGGATTGTTAATTTTAATGCATGGGTTGAGGGTGTATTGTTGTCTGAGAACTATTGTTCTTATTGTTGCATACTACCGGTAGTTTACTCCACTGACTCAGCATTCTGAAGGATTTCCCTATTCTGATGTCTTTTGAAACTTCCACCCACGTCCTATTGTTACACGGGCCTTCCAGTGGAAGACAATAGCATCGCATTGAACGCCAGTGGGTGTATGGCAGTTTTGTGTTACTAGACACATGACATGCCCTTGTCCTGCCCATTGCACTTGCATGTTGATGGCTACATGGCACTGTTACGTGTGTTGTAGGAGCCTTTCTGTGCCCATATAGATTGCTTATCAGATCAACTGTTTTTTATTATCAGTCTGCCAGGACTTGTGATACTTCATAGTACGTTCCTATAGCCATACCAATAGACTATACTGGTAGACGTGGGGATATTGACAGAGTTCCTTGTACCTACATTTTTGTATATTGTCATTGGTTGTGTGGTTACTTTACATAATCAAATCTGTATAATTTTACGACTCCAAGGAGCAATGGATTTTATTGATTGATGCTGTTTAGTAGACCAGCACCTTGAATTGGATTACCGGTATCCAGTCCCAAGGTTGTCTGCTATTGTCACACAGCAAAGATGGCTGAACAATCTCCCGAAAACGATACATATGGCAAATACCTGAATTTGAAAGGTAAGAAAATATCTGACCTTGCTGCGTGTCTGTAACACTCTGTATTCAGAGTCCCAGTACGGCAGTAGATCTATATTCCAGTTTCATCTCAGTGTTCACATTACCGAGTGTTTGCTTTATTCATACATTGAACTCTGCTCTCTCTGCTTCTATGTTTATTTGATATAACCTAAAGGTTGCAATAAAAGTACCATCTTTACTGTAAGACACTCTGCAAGGAATGTCTCAAATATGTCATTCTAATACACTTAACCATTGAAGTGAAGCAAAGAGCTTTCATCGTGATAGTATTTACCAGTACTATTAAAAAAGTCACACCTTTGTTAGTCTAACTATTCACTTATATGCTGTTTACAGTCGGTAATATAACTTATAGCAAGAATGCAGTAGTGGGGGTTGGTTTGAAAAGTTCTCTCTCTGCCTAATTATGTAAATATTAATATTAACAGTGCTATATTTGGTGTTTTAGTCTTGTTAATTCATTGTCCCAGTTAAATCTACCCCTAGGATATTTTTAGGGGACTATAATAAAACAGTTTACAAAGCAGTGCACTCGAATTAACATATTAAGTTTCCCTCACAAATCCTTTCATTCTTTTTTTTGTATCTATTGGAGATGATGAATGAAGCATCTATCCTTCACATCTTCACCGTCTGTAATGTAAGGGTTTTAAATCTACCAAGAGGTCAAAAGTTCCATCTGACTTCCATGGTAAATCTATCATGGTATAAACTATGTGTTTTAAAGTAAACCATGTTAACTGCACTGATTCAGTGATTGGAGCTTTGCCAAATATGACACATAACAAAAGTGTGATGGCTTCCCATTCTGTCACTGATGAATTACCGGGCTGCTTTTGTTACTATGGCTTCTAGTGTCTGTGGGCGGGGCTTTTAACTGACCCCCATTATCATAATCCTTTTGTTTGCACTTTAAAATCTTTTGGGCCATACATAGTTGGGTTAATCTTAAGATGAGAAAAAGATTTACCTTAATTTTTGGTTGTTTAGTCGGAGTAGACATTTCTAGGTTGGTTAATGACCCATATGCAGAAGTTGATAAGATTTTGCAAATTGTTGTTAGTACAGTGTAGAGGCTGTCACAAACAAGTAATTATGGATCACTCAAACCTTACCTGGTATTTGCCAGGTGTTTTTACAGTGTATTCACTAAGATGTACTGGAAGGAAATACTTTAGACTTAGTTCCAGGTTGAGCTAATATTTTTTTATAAAGAAGCTTTGTGAGTATTCGAAATAAAGGTTATTGTTCAGCTCCAGTTTTGCCAACATGTCTAGTAAATACCTTCCATTCAAAAGTCGTCTAAAGAACCTTTGCTACCTATGTTCACACATGAAAAATTGATACCCTGTATACATTCTTTCTATGTATTTCCACCCATTTTGATTTGGACAGGCTCTATGGATGGAGCTATGCAAAGCAAGCATGGCCTAGAAACAGGAATAACATCTTGTATTTAAAAACTATTGTTCACAATGGTTGAGTCATCAGAAAAATATAGTATTTGTGATAATTTCTTTGAATTAGAACTTTGGATTAGAACTTTGATGACCATATTGCATTCATTATACTTTATGTAGGATATCTACCACTTGAGTGAAGAAAAAGGTAAATAATATGGAACTCAATTAAAACACATTTATAGCTCCATCAAGTAATTTTGTTTATTATTGTAACCCAATGTGGGGCTCTGATTTACAATCACAGGTTGGTGATAGTGTAGTACATGGGTGCAGAATTTCATATACACTGCCATTTTGAATATAACACTGGAAAATATTTATAATTTTTAAGAATGTTTAAAACCTCAAATCATATGTCAGAACTATAAAACTCTTTCACTGTACAGACCCCTCCTTTCTTCCAGAGAACTATATAATCCTAGAATATATATTGCACTTGTGTCTTATGTAATTAAGAATGGCATTTCTATGGCGACACTATTTAACACAATACCAAAAGTGTTGCTTTTGTCATTATTAAGCTAGATTCAGTTTCCAGCTGTTTTGTTTCAACCTGAATGAGCTTTACCCTGAGCCCAGTGAGCTGTGTTTATTATTCAACTCACTATTGGTTTATTGCATTTTTATACATGCATTAACGATTTGGCCTTCAATCAGTTTTAGGTAAAGGTACCAAGCTGTACTCATTCATCCACTCAACACAATAGCTATTGTTTGATTATCTATTGTTATTTGTTGGGGACTTAGTCTGAAGTATACATGGGTTTAGTATATGCATGTGATTTATGTACAGTAATGTCCCTCTGACTGTGGTTATAATTCATTTCAGTAATACTTTTAAAATGTGTTGTTCTCACCCTTTTGCATTCTATGAAATAGCCAACTATTGTAGTACAGCTAGAATTTGTCAATTGTTATTCATACAACTTTACACTTTTAATTGTTGGGGCGCCCTCTTGTGTTCACTCAAAACTTGCACTATAAAGCACTAGTAACATCACTGTTCTGAGCATCATACCACATCATTTATTATGTTCTGTATTGGGGTTAATTTTTACAACTGTTGTTTTCAATAATTGATGTGAATGTACTCTAATGTCATTCCTGCTTTTGAAGCCAAACAATAAGTCCTAGTCTTCAGAAGTTAAGTTTAGAAATTGAAGGGTTTGGAGATTCAAACATGTATGGAGATGAACAGCAGGCATTCCCCATCATTCAGTATCTAAGACGTGTCGTTAATTACACTAATCATCATTGTCAGATTTCATCTTTCCAAATCATGCAATTGATGTGCTTTTCATTGTTTTACAAAGTGAAAAGTTTCAACATTTGAGCATACTATGCATACATGTAGCGATTACTGTAAAATGACTAATTTTCAGTGGGTTTAACATTTCACTGATTTAGCATTTCAGGCATATTCAGTGGGATTAAAATTCCAGGGTTTATCATTTATATAATGTGTTCTATGCTCAATTTTACATATTCACTGGGTTTTAATTTAGCGCATTTGCCAGTCAGCGAAAAAAATAAATAAAAACCCAGTGAATAATTAACCCTTTTACAGTATGTATTCGCTTGTGGATCAAATTACATATCGAAATTACATTAAGTACCGAAAGTGTGTGGCTATGACAACCACTGCCCTTTGGTACAGCTGAACTGACACATAGTGGCCCACATATTAATCATATTATAAATATTTTAATTTCATGCAAGAATAATTTACATGAATTTTACAAGAGAGGGAAAACCTTAAAACTTTGTATCTGTGAACATTTTATTAGGATTTTCACCATAGGACAGTGAGTCACGTCACTTGAAATATCAAAACATAAATTAAATAATATGATTTACGAGCTGTGTTAAAAAGTTTCAGATCTTGTCAGTTTTTAAAAATTAACTATTCAGTCACTTGATAAACCGTTCTAAGCACTATCATTCTTCCCATAAACCTTTTATCAATTCTAACTTTATATTCATGTTAAAAATATGAGATGTTTTGTCCAGATTAAATGTTTGAAAAAACTATGTCAAAAGTTAAACAGTGTTTGTCCAAGTGTTACATCATCTGCATTATCTTCTACCACTTGACTATAATACATCTGGAATCTACATTAAGTATTTTGCCGTGTCATATCCTATAATGCCTTATGGTATTTTGTATTCACACTATTGAGAAGCACTCCCCTCTTGTCAAATGAACTTGGATTGCCCATGCAATGTAGCATAATGAACTTTTCATCAAGACAGGTTTCATTTAACAAATGTTGTGTACAGTGTGAGGTGGCTGTATACATGCTTACTGCTTTTGGAGGTTTAGAAAACAGATTGAAAAGAGTTTTGTCAACAAGAATGTAGAGATGTGTAAATAAATGGGGTTTGATGAAAAGATTGACAGGCCCTGCATTCACTGGGTGCTATTAATTCATGGTGGTTATAAAAGAATGAGAAACATGTGATGCTCAACTTGTTAATTTAAATGTCTTTTTTACTTGTCATAATCTTTGAATGTGAATGTCTGTCAAACTATTGTAAAAGGTGGTGTGCAGTGATCAGCGAAGGCTAAGCAAGCACTCTCTATTGAGATATAAGTATAGTCAATCACACCTGTTACAAGTGTAATAGCCACACTTACATGTATGGTCAAGTCTTGTAAATGAAAGTATATTTACAAGATGTTGACCGTAAATGTGACTTCTTGTGAAACTGACAATCTTACCGCAATAATCGACAATTACACAAAATAAATGCACACTTTACCTTGTCTCATTGCTGTCAGTGGAATGGTACATTCACATAGTCAAAAAAGGCTTTGTTATGTGCATACCATGTGATGGATAATGTATTCTTCAAACTTTTTTTTATTTTTATAGCTATCCAAACCCAATCCCTCAGAGAATAGGGATTATAGGTACTGACATTCCCAATACCAAACCTAGCTATAGTTTCAATAGTTGAGCTTACACTCCCATTCACATGTAAAATTCAAAACCTTGAAACTAAACCAATTTCTCAGTTCCAAAGCACCTGACATGAAAAAGTGTATGAATTCCAAATTTACATATGCAGGAAAAAAACTCTGTATGAAAACAACTGTCGTGATGATGATAAAGACCAAAGTGTGGTGTTACAGAAATAAACACATGGCCATGACGATAGGTCACATGACCAAAAGGAATATAAATATACAATGTCAAATATACTTTTTGTTTTCTGAGATACATGGATAGTCTAAAATATGCATGTATTATGGTGCTGGTATATAGCTTTAGATTTTTCACTTTAAATGGTTTTGAAAATGACCAAATTTACCATGCTTGCTCATATGTTATTTATGACAATATGCCGATAATAAACATAATTCGTAAGTTTGTCATTCCTAAGAACCAGCTATTATTTAGGTGAGCTCATTTGCATATGCATTTTTTACATAAGTAGCATATACCTGCATATCTATGGCTTGTAAATTGTATTGTACCAGTCCTCCCAACTCTTAAGGTTGAACTTATATTT